ATGTTATGAGATCAACATATCATGACAATTTATTCCCGATTAGCTCAGGTGAGCATTTTAGCCAATATGCTTCTTTATCTATATATATATATATTTTTTGCCCCCTATCAGCTTTAATCCACAGGGAGTCATTTTTCTACGGGGGTCATTTTTCTTCACGTAGGTTCTGCAAATTTTTAGGGTGGTGACACTTATTCTACGGGCACAAGGGTCATTTTTCGACGTCGAATTATGACCGGGGTTCATTTTTCGCCGTAGAATATTGACCGGGGCTCATTTTTCGCTGTCGAAAAATGACCCCCGGTCAATATTCGATGGGGGTCATTATTCGTCTTTACACCTATCACTAATTGTTCCTGTGCTTGCTGTGATTTTTAGCCCAATATCCTCAAACTCAAAGTTTCAATTAATTTTTCTTATGGAACATTGAGCAACGTTTGAATGATAGATGCCGTTATATTATATTTGTGAAAATTGGGCAATCCAGCTGTGCATACAAATGTAGTTGGATTTCGGAAACTTGACGTCTGAACTGATTATTAATTTTTGTCCCCCGCTTGAAAAGTGGGGGATATTAATTTGGGTTTGTCCGTCCGTCCGTCCGTCTTTCTGTCTGTCTGTAACGCTTTCGTTTCCACACGATATCTCGAGAACCCTTTGAGCTTTTGCAATGAAATTTAGCATAGCAACTCCCTATGGACTAAAGAAGACCCCTATTGATTTTGAGGTCAAAGGTCAAGGTCATAAATAAGCAAATTCTGTCTGTTAAAACACTTTCGTTTCCACACGATATCTCTAGAACCATTTGAGCTATTGCAATGAAATTTTATATAACAACTCCCTGTGGCCTAAAGAAGACCCCTATTGATTTTGAGGTCAAAAGGTCAAAGTTCAAGGTCGTAAATTTATACATTCTGTCTGTGTGTAACACTATCATTTCCGGGCGATATTTCAAGAAGATTTTGAGCTGATGCAATGTATTTTTATACCAAAACTCCCTAGGACGTCTCTCGCCCCTCTCAAAGTGCCCCGCCCCGTTTGTTTTATTAGTATTTATAGTATTACATGTCGCTATTTTTAGCGCAGGGGCATGAGGAGAGTTATTGCGTATAAAACAGGTTCTCGGCGGACTTTGTGTTCTTATTACATCTATTAAAACTGTTTAATAAAGGCTAAATAAATCAAACACCATGGATTTTGTAAAATTTTGAGAATACCGAACATGAAAACATGAATATATACATGTATGTGACTTCAGTTCTGCATATACTTCACTCCGAGTAAAGCGACTCCGTGGTCTAGTGGTTTTGTCTCTCGCTTCAAATGTGAGAGGTTCCGGGATCGAATCTCGGTCGATCATTTCTTTTTTTTTAAATACTTTTTTTTTTTACTAAATGATAGTATTCAGCATGTGAAATGAAAAATTTATGAGGTTATAAAATCATCATTACAGTGTGATAAATATTCCATATGAAAAAATCTTCTATACACATAATAAAGAATAAGCAATCAAATCTTTATATGCATATTGACATACATGTATTTTATTTCCTTCAGTATATATACATGTATACATTTAATAATTCTACAAATTCAGTCAGGGGGAGCCGACTTTTTCCCTAAGCGGGGGACACGAATTCTCTGAATTAGCTTGTTTTGTCCCCCGCTTGAAAAGTGGGGGGTATTAATTTGGGTCTGTCCGTCCGTCCGTCTTTCTGTCTGTCTGTAACGCTTTCGTTTCCACACAACATCTCAAGAACCCTTTGAGCTTTCGCAATGAAATTTTGCATAGCAACTCCCTATGGACTAAAGAAGAACCCTATTGATTTTGAGGTCAAAATGTCAAAGGTCAAGGTCATGAATTCGCAAATTCTCTCTTTTATAATACTTTCGTTTCCGCGCGATATCTCGAGATCTCTTTGAGCTTTTGCAATGAAATTTTGCATACCAACTCCCTGTGGCCTAAGAAAGACCCCTATTGATTTTGAGGTCAAAAGGTCAAAGTCTAAGGTCGTAAATTTATACATTCTGTCTGCATGAAACACTATCATTTCCGGGCGATATTTAAAGAAGAGTTTGAGCTTTTGCAATGTAATTTTATACCAAAACTCCTTAGGACCTCTCTCACCCCTCTCAAAGTGTCCCGCCCCGTTTGTTTTATTAGTATTTATTGTATTACATGTCGCTATTTTAGCACAGGGGCATGAGGAGAGTTATTCCTTAAATAAAACAGGTTCTCAGTGGACTTTATATTCTTATTACATCTATTAGAACTGTTTAATAAAGGTTGAATTAGATATCATGCATTGTGTAACATTTTGATAATATCGAACGTGAATATATACATGTATGTGACTTCATCTTTGCATCTATATATAATTTTCGCTAGTTTGAAGCGGCTGCGTGGTCTAGTGGTATGTCTCTCGCTACACACGTGAGAGGGCCCGGGTTCGCATCCCGGGCGATCAATTTTTTTTTTTTCCGAAATGCTTTTTTTTTTTTTACTAAATGATAGTATTCATGTGAAATGAAAAATTTATGAGGTGTGGCTTGTACGAACACATAAAATCATCATTACAGTGTGATAAATATTCCCTATAAAAAGAATTTTCTATACATGTACACATAATAAAGAATAAGCAATCAAACCTTTATATCCATATTGGCATATTATTTTATTTGTATACATTTAATAATTCTACAAATTTTGTCAAGGGGATCCGACCCCCCCCCCCCCGAACTGCGCATGCTTTACTTTTTCCCTAAGCGGGGGACACAATTTCTCTGAATTAGCTTGTTTATCATTATTGCTAAGTTGTGAAGGAGGGGAGATAGGGCATTAATAACTGACATGTGGCCGATACCTAAGTTACAAAAGATGATGTTCGGGCAATCCAAAGTTTCTTATATCGTGGCCTGAACTAGAATAATATATCTTGAATATGAAATGAAATACATCAAAATTAGATTAAGCTTTGAAAAAAAACATTTGATGATTTTTACACTATAGCACTGGATATATACCCCTGGTATACTCCTAGTAATTCATTATTTATATGGCGTTTGCAAATATTTTGCTTTTGTTAGTGAAATGATTCTATTTTCCTCATGTTTAAACTTAAATTTGGAGTTACTTTTCTTAGTTTATGTTGTCGAAATATTATCAAAATGAGGTACTCAATAATATATCGTTACAGATTTAATAAAAGCTATTGATTTGTTATTTACCTCCTTCCACCCCGCCTCTGCCATTTCTTTTTTTTTTTTTTTTTTTTTTTTAAATATATATTTCAGCGTTTGCAGACCTATTTTCATGACTTTTTGATTAAATCTGTGTTGTTATTACTGGAAATTTATATTATCTCCCTTAATAAAATTCGTTTATTTCTCATCTATATTTACACACGGATTCTCTTGCAAATTTTCCGTATCTCCGATCATGACAGGCATCGAAGTGTAAATTTTAAATTAATGAAGCGGAAGTAAATGCAAAATTGTTCCCATTTACCTCCCCCTCGTAAATTCAAAATTTACAACATTATACAAGGAACACAGTGTAGGATTGACAGGACAAGAGTTTTTACTCCTCCATAATATGACAACTAATCCGACCTCTGATGTCCGTATTTGCTCTGATTTGTATCGTTTCAATACATTTTAAGTTCAAGAACTGTTCATTATCTCTAAATTTTATATTAATTTTAATACCTTTATTTATGCAGATTTTCTAATTAGACAATAATCGTGTTCTGAATTATATGGCAAATAAAAAAAATTGTACAATTGATTGAAAAGTGTCATTGTCATTCTGATAAAGAAATGTTCGCTGCTTTTACAAGTATGTTTTAAACGAAAACGTCAGAATTTTTGTATAAACGATATATATGGATATTACATAAAGTATTTAAGCTTAAAAGTCCATTAAACAATTCAAAATTGGAGCAGAGCAAACACAGACCTTAAAAACATCAAAGCTGGGACCAGGTACATAAACATTTATCATGGAGGAGTGAGAATACCCTACCGACTTGTCACTTGTCGACTGTAGAACTTACGAAATGATGACTTTAAACAAGACTGCTGATATTCTTGTTTCATCACCTTGTTTGTCAAAAATTTATTTCGTTCTAGAAATTGTATATACGTGGAGCATGCTCTTGCGTATTGAATCAACTCAGTGATATTAACTTCGTGAATGCAAGTGATGAAACTACATTGCTACAAAAGTAAGGAAAGTTGACGATTAAAAGATTCAAGTTATCACGTTTATCATAAATTAAAGTTTGATTTTTAGATAACCATTAACGTCTTTTTCAAATATAATATCAAAATATGGAACAGATGTGTTAGATTCTGTGGTATCTATCATCTCAAGCTCACTGAGATATATTGTATCGATATAAGAATGGGAATAACCATTGTTGGTTGACAATACGTCGACGATATATCTAAATGTTGGGTTAAAGGCCACAACAAGTGTTTTCGTTTTTTTCTCGTTTAAGATTGATTTTGACAATTTCTATTTTATATGAATACGAAAATAGGTCTTCTAATAACGGCGTGCAATTGATACCCATGGGAATTCCAATATATTGTTGAAAGACCTAAACTCCAATAACCACAAAGATATTGTAAATCAGAAACTCAAGCAGTTTTATGTCAGTTTCAGAGTACTTGTGTGTAACAATCACAATGTATTTTAACAAAATGATTTTGCAAAATTTTAATAAGTATTACTGGCATTTTATTCAAACGTTTTAATATTTTTCCAACACTTCCCAATGTTCATGAAACCATTTCTAATATAATTTTTTAACCTAATCTTATTTCTTCAGATTATGGAAATGGAAAGAAATACATTTTATCCATTATACATACTCCCTTAAACGAACAAGATCAATAAACCTATTGTCGTTATTATTTATGAGCAATACAATTATGAATATGCAAGATATCATATAAATAGTGACGATTCTCATAAGTGAACACAATCTTATATAAACAATGTCTACGTTAAACACAGATAAAAAAAATTATATAAACTATCAAAATATATACATATGTACAACAATTAAATAAATTATCACAACAGCTTTTAATTTCACTGAATGTTTATCCCCTATTAATTTGGCCATTTGTATGGATTGCCCATATTTGGGGCTGGCCAGCTCATTCTTCTTCTCAAACACTGGGTTTTTCACCGGATAGATCGAAACAGTTCCTAAAAAAATAAATCCGGTAAATACACAAAAGTAAAAAAAATAAGAGGGGTATAGATCTAATAAAACATGCATTTCAAATTTTTATAAAGTTCAAGTGTAATACAAAATCGAAAGCTTAAAAAACGCTTAAAAGGTATGAAAGTTTTATCTAAATTTAATTAAATAATAATGCAAATAAATGATTCAAAATGCCACCGTTTATCATTCACGTGTTATGAAATTAAATTAATTTAAATGAAGGATGAAAATCCGACAAATTTAATAGCAGGGTATATATATAAACCTTCATTACAACAATGCATTTAGTGTATTAAGGCCGTAATTAATATTGTTACGAGGTGTTAATCATATTTAAGATTCCTGTCACAAAACGAAATTGACGAACCTTGCTGCAGAGGTTAATTGGTGTGTCAAATGTCTCACGGAAAGAGAAATAAAAAATCTATTTCTGTTTTCACTTATATAGAAATAAATGTGAGACCTTCGCTTCTTCGGAAATTACATTTGCATATTACTGACTTCGTATAATCATAATTAATTCAAAGTAATAATGAGAGGTTTTTTAAATGGCAGGATGAATAGGAAACGTGTATGACAGAAATTCTCTTTAAAATTCAAAAATGCAGATTTTTCTGCTGGAATTAAATTTTAAAAAATAATAATACATTTATACAATTTAAAAAACCAAAAGACAAGGGAGCAGAGATGCATACCTATATTTAATTTTCTTTTAAGACCTATATTTTGATTTGTTTATTGCTTGAAGTAAATGTTTTAGTTTGAGCTCGGCCAGTTTTATCAAATAATGTGATATTATGAAGAGCATAAAACACAAACTTGACGTTAGATAAATAGCACCAGTACGAATACAGAGCGTTTTATGGGTGCATGTTTAAATCCAAAAAGTGTTTTATTAACGTATCTAAAATGCCTCATTTTCTCATATTTTTTTTCAATTAACAGGATATATTTCAATGTAAAAAAAAAATATAAAAACTCAATTAAACATATCTTTATTTCGATTTTTTTAATTGATTTTTTTTTTGGGGGGGGGGGGGGGGGTTAATCAATATATACATTAAGAACCACCAAAAATTGAAGAAAAAAAAAGATTCAGTTACGGTCCTTTTTGTGCGATAATATTACTCAAAATTTCAATTTCAAACTTTTTCCCGATGTATGCAATGTTATATACATATTTTTTTTTTTAAATCTAGAAATACTGGTACTCTCCTATCTTTATCCTAAAACTTTTTTTTTTTTTTTTCATAAAAGTAATTTTAAATTGGTGATGTTTGGGTGAAAAAAAACTTCGTGATGAATTAATTTCGTATTTGAAAATGCGACATGCATGTGCTACTATGCTTTTGAAATACGTAGTTATTGTATTCACAGCTATATTTCTGAATAGCGTTGCCATACCTTTCAGAGCCCTGGCCAGTCACACCGGCATTTCTGCTCGTTAAAGTGTAAGTTAGCCGGACAGTCCAGCAGTTTTCCTGTCCGCGTTTCCTGTATACTATGCGCATACTGACTCTTATTAGCTGGATTTACTATATAGGGACAAGCTGAAAATGCATAAAAAGAAACCTTTCTTAAACCTGAATATGAAATTTACATATTCAATGTGGAAAAATTAAGTGCATTACATGTATTTCTTCACCATTTTCAGTTGTAATGAAAGGCTAAAGTAGACATTTTAAAAAATTATTTTACAAATACGCAATACCAGAAAATTAATTATGTTGATGACACGCCCCAGTATGTTTTCAAATATTGAAATATAATTGACATAAACTTTCAACTTTTTTAACTTAACATTCAGAACACGATCTTTAAACGTTCAATTTACCAAATATGTCCAATGAAAAAAATTATTAAATAAAGTACAGACACGATGTGATTAATAGTTTTGCAATTAAAATAAACGTTTTAGGTAACCTTTTGATGTTATTCTTTTCGTGGCAGGAATACAATGTTCAGACAGAAGTCACAAACATGTGATTTACAAGGTTCAAACATTAACCTTTCTTACTACCATCAGAATTGAATTTTACAATTACATTTGTATTCAAAGAATGTCACTAATAGTGGATTCAAGGAATTAGATTAAAGACCAATGAAGTTTTTGTGATTAAAATCATTGCTTATGTTTTGAATTTTAATTATCAGATATTACCAAACACTGTGAAATGGTTTAATTTAAGTAAAGGGATAAAATTTATTCAAAAAATATCAAAGGGAACAAAATCGTATAAACGAAATATTTTTTAAAGAAATCCGAAATCACACCTTAATTTTAGAAGTATAATCATTATCCCGATCTTCCCGAATTAATAAAGAAAAATAAAACTTGTTTTTACTCAGATATCAATACGATTAACAAAGTTTCTTACAGTTTGTGTTTGAACTGCTTTGTGGCACTGGCCAATCGCAGCGACATCTATCGATACGAAAATCAAGTCCTGCTGGGCATTTTGATGTAAAACGGCCCGCCCTTGCTTCTGCCTGGCTCATGGCGTACTCGTTTCTGTTGAATGGGTTGACTTCATAAGCGCAAGCTGTATGAAATATATACAAGAAATTAAAATGAATTATTCCCTTTTTTCTCTGAGTATTCTGTCCTACTACTACAATGTAAGTTAACCACTATTAACTCAAATTCATGATATGTTTAGGCATTACAGCTGTACATGTGCACATAAAGAATAAAGTAAGACTGGATATTTTCAATAATTTTATGTTACCTCGTCCTGTAGACATTCGGAACACCTCTGGGGCTTTTGTGAACATTCTCTGCATACTGGGTGCCTGGGCTGCTAAAGAGGATGTTGTATGCAAATTCTTTTTCTGACCAACAAGAGGAATAGTTGTCGTTTCGTAGTAATTATAGTTTATTGGAATTTCTATAATAGGTATGGTGTTTGTCACCCTCGAAATCTGGACAATATCCGGCGACAGGCCTTTTATTGGCTTGATATCTAGAATGTTAACACCAGCCAATGAATATCCACTTTGAACAGGATTTTCAATGTTCAACATTTGTATATTTGGATTGGCAATTATTTCTTTAGGAATATTGAATGAGGTGTCTATTATTTGAGTTTCCTGAGGATTGGTTTTTGCTGCGTTGTTGATGATGTTATATTGACCATTGTGTTGCAGCTCTGAGGCAAAATGTGATTTGGGATTCTCCATCTGATAGATACTTTTTGCTGACTGTTGTTTTGGATCAGCCATTGTTTTCGTCTGACCCAGTGAATTAATTACTTTTTGATGCAGTCGTCCAGCGGAGGGTATTTCATTCATTTGATTGTAATGTCTGGCTTCTATTTTATCATTTCTTAAATTATATTCAGCTCTAAGTGATTCTGGCTTTTGTGTATGTTGATTCTTGAATATGGAATTAGCAGAGTGAATCTGAGCTCTTTTGACGTTTGCTGATTGTGGAATGTGTTCAATCGACTTGTGGAAGTATTCGGCTCGAGATGGTGGCATTTTAACAATATTATACGGCACTTCATTTTGTACAGCATATTGCGTTTGTACTTGTTGTGTTCCTTGTTTCATAATTTGTTCTACTGACTGGCCTTGAGGAAGTTGAGAGGCATGTTGACTCTGCATGATTCTTCCTTGAGAACCCAGGAAACTTGGGTTGGACAGTGAGCTACTCGAGGATAAGCTTGGGGTTTTCTGTGTTTGTTTATTACGTTGTTCAGTTGCTTGTGCGTGTCCTTGGTGTTCTGTTTGATGTTGCTGTTGGTGAACTCCTTGGGCGAAGGTGGTGGGGGTCTTATCCTGCAATCGTGAATGACGAGGCTGTGTATTAAAGCCTTGTAATTTGTTCATAACTGATGCTTTCATATCTCTAGGATGTTGCTGATTGGTTTTACCCTGAGTATTAGGAGTATTAACCATAGACTTTTCAGGAATTTTCTGCATCGCATTCACATCCTTTGATACTATAAAGTTGTTTCTGACCGCATTTGATTGATGATTGTTTCCGTTCTGTTTTTGCAATGATGCGGATGAATGAATATTTGAGAGTTGATGGTTACTTTGCAATAATTTACTTTCACCGTGTGTTGTGAAGGCATCTTGTTTATGAAAATGACCATGGTGTTGCAGCATCTCTTTGGTTTTGTGTGTTCTCTGGACATCTGATGGCGTTTTCTCCTGAGTTTGTAAAGTGTGACTGTTCCATCCTTGCTGATTGTTTGAGTTTTCGGGATTTGGATTTGAAAGGGATCCCATTCTTAGTCCATTATTTTGGAAGTCAGGAATTTGATGTGATTCTTTCTTAAATGGTTGTTGAACATTTGATTCATATAGATTATTAGCCCCATGCATTTGTTCCATATTTGTGTGCCACATTTGATTATCAGCATTTCGTCCTGCATTGTTTCCAAAGTTATTCAATGAATGAGCACCTTGCTGGCTACTACTAAGTATGATGTCTGTAATTGCTTCAGGATCTGTCACGACATGGGTATGCTCACTTTTCGATATTTGTGGTGCGTTAATACTTGATAATGAGGAGCTTTGCTTCTTAAGTTGTCTTTGCTGGTTATGTTTCTGTTGACGATGCCATTGTGCGTTACTGTACCGATCCCTGCTTAACTTTCTATTTCTCTCTATTACTGAGGTCTCGTGATGGTTGACAATGATATCAGATGGTGGTTCTTCCTTTGTTACAATATGGCCACCGACCACAGCACCATTGGTTGGGTTCACCATTGAGTACTTATCTAGGGGTGGTTTCGTCGGTGCTTCTGTGTGAAGGTGAGAAGTAATAGGTACACTAAAACTTTTCGTGGTGTCGTATACACCTTGTTGGATACTTTGCTTCCACGCAGTCACTGGGGATTCAGTGGTCGCGATTACTCCAAATAACAAGCTATCCAGTGTTGTTTTCTTTTGTTCGAGCCTCGTATTCATGTGTATATTGCTTGAATCAGGCGAAGGCATTTCTGCTTTTGGAGTTGGTCTTTTCAGCGGTGTCGGAGACTTTGTGAAAGATTTACCAGTAAATCGGTATGCAATATTTTTCTGGCCTGGTTTGAATATGTTATTGCCACTCATGAACCGAATTTGTTGTGGTTTTACAAGCCGTTGTTTTCTTTTATTTTCAGAGACGATTTCTTTTTGTTCTTGGGGTAAATTACTCTTTTGTTCCTTCACAATCTTTTGTCTGTTGACAGCTTTTTTAATTGTCGGTTGATCCACAGTAAAGGCTCTTTCCTGCTTTGTGACATCAATTTGAGTCGATAAAGAACCTTTTCTAGGTGGAGAAGTTTTCTCCGACTGTGTCTGAATACTTTCAACGACGATTTTATTGTCCGTGGGTAATGGCCGTTGTTCGGGGTTATTTGGAACTTCTGTGTACACAACAGTAGGAATTGGCTCGTTCGGATATAACTCCGCTTGAAGTTGTTCGGGTACTTGCTGAATATCATGAAAATTATTGTCAAAATTTGATAACGAGGATAAAGAGGTGAGTGTTTTCTGTTGCTTAAATAAACCATTGTCAACAACAACTGCGGCCCTTTGTGTGTTGCCTCTTTCGAATGAGGGGCTGCTGAGGGATCCCAGGGAACCAGAGCTTTGATCGGCAGTAAAGATTCCTGGGTGAGCTGTTTTGACGAATCCAGCAGGAGACAGGAGGGAGAGGACAAAAAGTACTGCCCGAAAAGCCATCTAGAAACATATAAAATATAAAATGTTAAATCAATGTTTGCGTTTGGAACAAAATTTTAATTAATCTCGCAATTTACAGAGCGCTTTAGACGTGAAGAAGTGCAGCAAACCCATCATTCTAGAAAATTAAATAACAATGCCCAATGCCTAAAGCATAAAAAGGGCCTTCTAGAAAAGACAAATATGTAACATGGAAGGAACTGTCTACAATATCAATTAAAATAAACAGTGATAAAAGGTAAATGTGTGTGTGTATTGTTGGCTCTCGAATACGGATATATAAGATATAAAATTCTAGAATTTTTTTAAATCAAGTATGTTTTTATCACATTTTTTTCACATAATTCACTCTAAGTCATTAGAATTTATCACGGACTCTGTCAAAATTGCCAGAAAGAATGCATTTTGCTAGAAGATCTAAAATTCAAACGTGAATGTTTGATCTTTAAATGTCATTTTATTTTTATTCCAATGTTTTTACACACGCATATGCATGTTAAACGAAATAAATGCCAGATAAATTGAAATTATGACAATAAAAGACAACATATTTCTTCTGATTATACAAGATAACTTAATTTAATTGCTAATTCTATTATAATATCTTAGTGAGCATTGGAAGTGATTTATTCTGACGTTTTCTAACTTTTTATTTCTAATGAAAAAAAATTGCAAAATTTTATCAGGTTAAAAAGTTTTTTAGCTCCATCATTAAAATTATTTACCGATTTTTTACAGTTTTTTTCTAAAACATTAGAAAATATAAATAAAAGTCTGTCAGATCAAATCTGATAAATGTAGGATGACAATGTCACATATTTCTTCTTTAAATTAACTTAACTCTCAGATTATTTATCAAAATCAGACGTTAAAGTATATCTTGTGATTAATTTTAAAAACCATTTAAAGGATATTCATTTTACATACATGTATATCTGAACGAAGAGGCTGTATTTACTAAAATAGGATTTACCTTTTAAAAAACAACGCAAAAAAACTGAGATTTATTGGAGTGTCTCGGATCTGTTTACCTGTATATAAGTACCTCCAACACAGGCATGTTTTTGCCTTAAATATTTGACATAAAAACGTCAAATTGTCAAGAACATTATAAAAAATTTCCCGTTTTCATATAATACGTTTTTTAACATAATCATTCAGGTAATTTCTTTTACTTAATTAATAAAGATTTATAGAAACATTTAAGAAAAGTTAAAGGTACAATAAAACATTCTTTTTAAGAATTTCAAATTTTACATCTTAAAAGCGGGATTGTTTTTAAAAAATGAATACATGTATATTCATTTAAAAATTTTGTACAATGATTTTAATGTATTTAAGCCACTTAGTCATTTTATAAAAAAAAAAATTGACTTGCAATGAATACCTAATATTCCAATTGATTACTTATATTATTTTTCTTTGGCTTTTTTCTGTCTATCAAAAATGTTCTGCAAATAGCAATAACTTTTACAGTCACTTTAAAAAGGCTTTCATTTCCAGGCAATGTCAAATTGTCTTAATTTTCTAATTGAATTTGTTTCGTTTAAACAAAAACGAGAAGGAAAGAAAAAGTTAACATTAGTGAATGGATATGAGAGGGGAATACTCACCTTGGTGCGAAAGCTGGATAACAACTGTTAAAAAATAATTAATTCCAAAAGATTAATTATGATTCTTTAATAATATAATTCCTTTAAATTAATTGGTCACATAAAATGCCCCCGAGCAGCTCAGGCAAATGGCATATGTCCATATCTTAGCATAATGTGACAAAATAAAATCCTAAAAACACGTCCGAATGGCATAACATAAAATGGAGAATTTGTCAAACCCGTTTCTCATAGTCATAATGTAATTTATGCAAAATATAAATAAAATCCCATAACAAACAAGAAAATACTGATCAATAAAACGTGAAAGTGTTGTGGTCTATAGTCTACAATTATTTTTAATTTTCAATCTTGCATAAATGCATATCTAATCCATCTTAAGAACACACGCACAATCTGAAGCTTATTTCATTAACTGAGATTGATAACAATTATGCCGATGTCTCTCTGGAAAGTAACAAAAACACCGTTTAGACACATACCTTGCATAGTCTTTCAACTTAAGAGTTCCGTGTATTTATTTGTTTCTGTCTAGAAGATGAAGATTTAAATTTTTTAATGATACCGTTGTTAATTTTGTGATGCAATGTCCAAAATTCGATAAATAGACTTTGGTGAATAAAGTCAAAGATTGATAATTTTACATAGATTTTAAAGAATTTTCACTCCAATGTTCGTATAATTCTTTTAATCAATTTTCTCCGTACAGAAAAATTAACCATGATCAATAAAACGTGAAAGTGATAGCTGTTTTTTGGTAAAAACTATATTTTCAGTCAAAATACAATTTATCGATAATAAGCATGTCAAATCATTTCTAAGGCAGAGTGAGGTCTCTTGAATCGTTCTACAATTGTGCAACGATATCGTCAATTAAATTTAAGAACACATATCCATATCAAGGATTTTAAAGCACTTTAATAAAGGTAATATTTTTCCGCTAATTTCATTAAACGATGTCCGATCCATGAGATTGAAAACTCGATTTTTGAGGATATTTTCTAAATAAAGGGCATATAATTGTGTCCCAATTTGATATTTTAATCACAAACTAAATGTTAAACTCCATTTTGATAATTTTCCGTCGGTAACGATATCTTGTTGAAGTACAAGGGTAAAAACACTATGCTTAAACAGTTAAGGAGAAATACATCGACAAATATGGAGAGGAACAAGTTATATACCAAAGGCATTGGTTATTTCACATTTAAGAAGCGAATAATTATCATTATTCTTTATTTATGAGAGTACCGTATTTTGAGTAGGCTTGAAAAATTATGAAGTTCTTAATGTTTGCGTATACATTATCTACATAAGAAATGACTCAGATCAGGAACTTGAACATTTTTCGTGCTTTGCAAAGTAACCTTCTTACAGGCGGACTGAGTCGCAATGATTAAAAGTAATTACTTATAGATGCTAAACTGCAAGCCTTGTTATGCATATAAATTACATTTAAATCACGAAAACTCATAGAATGATAATATGATTATATGCCCCCTCAATGCCGTGACAACACCACCTCTATAAGTGTAGTTTCGGAGGTGAAATGTCATCGTGCTGAAAGCTGCGTAGGAAATGGTAACTAGAAAATTAAGAAAGTTAGGATGAGGTATCACAGAAGGCTTTTAAAATCACCACTTTACAATAAACCAGTGCAGTATTTATTGTTTGACATCATAGGTACGACATATTCTAATAAAGGCATTATACAGTGTAAAATAGACACTTAAATGTGTGATTATCAAATATAAATAGTTTCCACGTTTTTCTGTTAACAGTAAAGCAACTTATTTTCAACCTCAGCATATTAATTTTTACTTCAAGTTTTCTTCAATCAAATCCATTGAAAATTCATTACAGTGCTCAAGGACATGAAAGAGGTTGACTGCTATTAAAATGTTTTAAAAGATTATTTCTATATATAAGATTTTACACTATAATATTACCAAAGAAAATCTAATCTAAGATTCCAGGACTCTCTCGTGATCCCGTACTCTGTGCACTACCGTTTCCTCAGGTCCTAGTACCATCTTGTTCTTGGATTTGTTAAAGTGTTTTCTGTCATATTGATTAACCTTTTTTCAATGCTCCAATGCTTATTCATGTCGGTTCTCCACACTGCATTCTAGTATCTAAAAGAGTTGATAGGAGCCTCCAATTTGTTCTTAGAACAACATTTGCACTTAAAACGCATTTGTATCATCTTATCTCGCCTTCAAGAAAAAGAACACGTTTATGATATATTAGAAGTCATAGTAGAATTTACAGATTGAACAGGAAAATCAAACCTTTATTACTTTATTAATGACAAGATTAATTTTAAGGCGATGTCATTCTAATTCTCCAGTTATTTAATTGGTCTATCTACACTGTAAAACAAATGTACCATAACAAATCTTGTAGTTAACTACTTCCTCAATCAATTCTATACTACTAACTTTTGTTTTCTATTAGTGTATGACTATGACACAAATCACGTGTAATGTAGCGGGAAAAATCAGTAGAATCTGATATTTGATCGGCCAAACTCTCAGTGATACATCGTTGGAGTGAACCTCATACTATACTCTGTTTTATTTTGTAGTCTTTAATATTGACTTAACCTTTTAATATATCATCAAAATATTTTCATAGCATCTACAGTTATTATCGTTGGTAAGTTCCTACAGTCTTGTTTAAAGTCACAATTTTGTAACTTTTATAATTGATACAATGACCTTGTCAGAAAATACAATCTTTCATTATGATTAATGGTACTTTTCTTTTGACATCATGCATGCAAGATTCATTAAAATTTTTGTTATATATATAATTATATTTCGTAACCATTCATAACCCATACAGAAAAACTATATTATTTGCTCTATGTTAACCATTTTTTAAAATCTCTGTACAACCATTTCACGAAGTGCACAATTTTTATTGAAAACTTAGACGTACACACGTATATGTAACCTTAGTCATTCTAATATTCAGAAAAGTCTAAATTTAATTATAAAGAATAATTTTGTTAAAGATACGCTTAAAATACATGTATATAAATAACTGATAAATTTCTTGAGTATTAACCAACACAAATAGGTTATTTATAGAAGTCATCATGAAAATGTAGTTGACATATAATGCTAAATTCTTTTTCGAGAAAAAATTGTTCTGTCATATGACTTTCCAATTTACAATTGTGTAAATGAAGCACAATTAACAATGTTACTTAAGGAAATTAATAATTTGAGGAATATAGATCCCATTGTCACCTTGATTGATTGCAATCATCTTACATGCGTGGCGTTAATAGTCAGGCACAAAATAACTCGACATTTCTGTTTCTCGTCAATTTCTAATGTTAACTCAGGTCCATTGATAATACATTTATCTATGTGCATATTATTTTGGAAGAATTATATCTTAACCGAATGGAAACCTTTAGAGCTACAACTATTTTCCATTTAAAGTTCATGTTTTTTTTTCTAATAAGAGGAAAAACTAAAAAAGCCTGAAATGAAGTGACAGTCTTATTTGGATGTTAAACATATTCACTAATGTAAAAAAGAAGTAATTATTTGTTTGACCTTAACGGTGATAAAGTTTAGCTGTCAGCTTTGGTGCGGTATGCTGAATTTAAATTTTAATTCACCATTCTTGTATAAAATTAATGATTGATTGCTCCGTCATTAAGATTTTAGACATGCGTTTTTTCATACCTTTTGCAAATTATAAGCTTAGCTTCCTTTTTTCTCAAGTACTTTTATTGTGATAAACTCATGAAAACCGTCCATTTATTGAGGTATGAAATCTTCGTAATTTGAGATTGTAAACCTGTATTTCATTACACTTCTTTCTTTTCCAATAAATTCTATTTATGATGATAAAAATTCTGCATACTTAATGAGAAAATTAAAAATTCTCTCTTTTTTGTCTTTTTTATGTCTCAGAAGGTCAAATGTTAACCATTAATTTAATTTAGATGAATTAACCCTTATATTTTCCAGAATTAATTTTAATCATTACAATATCGTCTCTTGTTTTAAACTCATTTTATTGAATTTCCTCATCTAATAAACCTGTCGGCCGTGTGGTGCAGTGCTTATAGCATCTGATTTAAGTCACCGGTTCGAATCCCACCTCGAGACGTAGAACAAGAACAGTCCTTCGAGAGATATCCAGGTCCCTTGTCATAGCAGGTGCTGGCATGAGAAAGATCCCTCACTGCTCACTGCTTCTGAGTGCCAAGTATGGGTCTAATAAGTAGCACTCCACCGACATACAGGGGCTTCTCAATATGAGTGAGGAATTCTAGAAAGGAACATTAAGTAATAAAAACAAACATATAAAAAATTTACTACTGTTTTATATCATATTGAACTTCGGAAATGTATTTGATTTTAACGTGAAAGCATCAATTACTAATTTGACAAATACATTTTTTTTCAATTTTAAATACCGGTAGTTATTTAATCATTTGTACAAGCAAGTTTCACACAACTCAGCATTATACATGTTTCATCATAGTCTTTCATACTTAGGACCTGAAGACAAGTCATCACCGGTTATCTAATTACAATGCAGAGGATATATACCACTGATATATCATTATTCATACTTCATCAACTCTAATTATCATAGTCATTATTAATATAATGATGCTTGTAGGTTCACGTTTAATGAGACAAGTTTTGTAAAGAGACTGTAATAGTACACTGTATAGGGGGGAATTCTAAGGCTTAAATCAAAATATATGGGGAAGTGGTGGATAAAGTTCGAGGACACAAACGTAATTTTTTTCATTTTATTATATACAGTTTTGTATATCAATTTTTAAATTCAAGAAGAAAAAGATAACCATTTTATACCTTAATGTTTTCCATGAACATAAGACTTATGTTTATATTAATGATCAATGATCTCAAATTGGTTGAAACCTCCACCCTTTATGGATGGAATTACATTATATTTAATGTTAACACATATACTAGTGATAACCCCATTAGAAAAATTGTCATCAATGCTTTGACATCAAATTTCAAAAATGAATATTAATATTGAAATACACAATTTTGTTCTCCACCCTTCTGTGTTGATTTATGTTATGTTATTCATGAATTTTTTTTTAAATGTTCATTTCTTATGCTCGTTTGAAAGTCTTACATTAAAAGACGACAACAATTTAAACCTTCATCACAG